TTAGGGGCCAAAGCAAAAATGTAAATGAAGGAAAAATGTTTTGGTTGTCGGTCAGAACATGGTATTAAATGCAAACACTTGGAAATTGAATTTTGGTTTCACAAATTTGATTTTAAGTACATAGATTGAAAATACATCAACAGGCCATTCACTTTTCCTTAAAAGCACCAAGTAAATGCAGGCAACATGTAAACACAATACAGCTGATATGCACTTTGACACTTTATCCATTTTTACTCGGAGAAAATTTCGGGCTGTTTCGGGCAGGAAGAAGAATACACTTACGATCGAATACGCTCGAATTTTCGCTCTCTATTACCCATTTTGTTGAGTACAGGCATGATTTCTGGGCCTATTTTGGCCCACGCGGGATCTCGCATTGCGTACGGGAAAGAAACTACTTAAATATAATTAATCGATTATCGATTCACAACAACAAAGTCATCAGCAGATTTTTGCGAAAAGTTACCTTGCCATACTTATTTACTACTTAACAAGAATTTTAGCAAAATGTTGCTGATTTTGGTTAAATAAATCATTTATTTCAAAGAAATTTTTATTTATTATTTTTGTAAATTTCTGGAAACCGATTGAAACCTGTGATTGAAATGGTTTCGGTATCGTTCCTTTTCAGGTCAAGATAACGGTTACGGTTTCGGTTTCGGTTTTGAAAAACGAAACGGTTTTAAACGGTTACGGTTTCGGTTTGGGTTTCGGTTTCATTCCTTGGTATAAATATTTCAAACTTTGTGTAATATTAAAAAAAAAATCAACAAAAAAATCCAGCTTTTTAATTAGATTTCTGGGAAAGATTTTCAATATGCAGGTTTGTAGCTCATTAAATTTTTTTATGAAAAATTCCAAGATTGAAGTATATGGCACTTACCACTGATTTTTGGTATTTTTCTGTTTGGTAATGGTGTTGCTTATTTTCTTCCATATAAAAAGGAGGAAAATGCGCCCAACTTATTTTGATTCATACATTATTGTGTGAGTAATTTGATTGTTTCTTTTCGATTATTTTGAAAATATCGATACAATTAAATCGTTAACCGAATGAAAATTACCGATTATAATCGGTTATTCGATTAATCGTGCCATTACTATTCCTGCGTTAACCTTTCGTATCTGCAATAGAAGAATCATTCTAGAGAATGCAAGAAAAAATGCCTATTTTCTTCCACAATAAACGCTTTTTTACTTAGTATATCTGGTTCTACTAATACTAGTGAGCACTGACATTAAGTCTTTGTTTTATTTTCAAATAGTATGACGCTTTTCCCAAAAAATTTAGATACGTGGTTAACGAAGAAACGGGACGAAGTTTTTCGAAGTTCCAATTTCCTTCTCCCAATTTTCTGAGAAAATACTAATCCCTTGGAGTTAATTATTGGAGGATTTCTTTCTCGGGAGATACAAACTCCCCGGGAGGACTAAAATTGGGCCGTAAGCATTTCTTACCGATAGTATCGATACTATCGAATGGTGAGGACACAAACTATCGAAAATATCGAATGATCCAACTATCGATGGTTTTGCAACTCTATGTTACCGGTGTGCAGCAATAAAAGTTCAATCTGTAGACGGTTATTCATTATTGAACCTTGTACCCGTGCTCACAAAATTTCGTGATTTGTTACTTAAAATTTTAGGCATCGGATTATCTTCGCATTATATACAGTTTTTCCAAACAAATTTTTGAAAACACAAAAGGGTTAAAAGATTCAAGCTCTTGTAGAGGTACCAATTTATTAAAAATGTAAAGCACACGGCAACCCTATTAATACGCCGGGTTGCAGCTGCTGATATTTGTGTCAGATTTGTGTTGTTCTCAGCTGAGTGAGGTCAGTTAAAAAAATTAGTTGTTTGCTTATTTGTTGTTAAAAAGTGTGTAAAAGTAGCCATGAAGATATAAATATTTCTGCAATTCATCATATCACCGCGGGTGGTATTAAAACTAATTTAGATAATCGTGCCATCAAACCAATTACGAAATATAGTCGCTGGAAGAGCGTTGCGTGCTGCTGAGAGCTTCCCACAAGCCTATCAAGTTGGGGCGGGGTAGCGGCGAAGACCTAGTGCTCGTGATCGATGGGGAACTAAACCGGTAGACAGACATAGGAAACTAAGGAGTTGCGTGCACCATATTGCATACATATGTATGTAGCAAGAAGTACAATCTTTTATCAAGGTCATTTCATGCACTTTATATGTAATATGTTAATTGCTATCGGCCAATGCACGCAAAATGCTCCCAACGCAACATGAAAGGCGCTCACTCTTACAAAAAAAGAAACGCCAACATCCTAATAATTCCTCATCCTCTTCAGAATCTGACACGTCTGAGGTAGAGCTTATTGCAGTCGCCTGCAGTAATGGAGTGCAGCTTGCAGAGTATGGGCGTACTAAATCTAAAATATCTGTTTCCGGTATGTTGAAGCCATCCCGACGACGTTGTCGCCTACGTCCTGTTGCGCGTATGGTGTGTTGTTTGATGCTGGCACCAATAATATTATTAATGTTGTACATGCCACTCTATCCGAATTGGCATATTCAACGTCAAGGTATGTGAAATTATAAAATATGGTATGAATGTAGGTACATATATACGATACTTAATTTAACTTTGTTGTCCTTTCCATAGGAAAAAAAATATAGGAAAGCATAAATTTACGAAAAGACTAGGAATGCGGATAGAATGAAATGTATTCACATCTAACTAACCATTTCATCAAGCGAAATTAAACAAAAAAATTAAAAAAATAATACCCTGCCATATAAATTAGTCCATTCCCGAGAAAACAACTGAAACAAAGGGTTGAAGCAATATGGGACTTCTTGTTCAACCACAACTATTTTTACGGCAATATAAATATAAAGACTATATATATGTTAGTGGATTTTTCAAGTAGTGTAAATAGAAACGTGCAAATTTCTCAATTATTAGAATAAATTGATAACAATATCAGTAGATTGCAGTAATGGTTGTATTAAACTGGTGATAACTGGTTGTTATTAAAGGCCATACAAATGACGTAACTATTGAAAAGTATGTACACAGGAATGTGCATAAAAATTATCTCTTATCGCTAATAATTAGTTACTCGAATTCGACAGGAAGTCATATTTTCTTCATATTGTTTAATTTGTTTAACCTCTCCCATAGCTTAAATACTCAGTCGTTTGATTCACACAAGCCTAATCGTACAATTTGTGTCATAACTCTTCCAAAAATTATGCTTGTTCTGAAATACATACAATGTGTAATACAAAGCTTATCTTCCTTTGAAATCTTTCAGCTGCGCTACTCGACTGGGGCTACAATACGTCAAGAAATATTGCCGATTACGTGCTACCAGATAACAATACCGTGATTTTAGAACCTCAACATGGGTGTAATAATAAGTTGTTCCTGCTCGTTATTGTGTGTTCCAGCATACAAAATTTTGCGATAAGGTTTGTGAAATCTAAAACAAATAAAAAATGCATAGATATAAATAGTGATTAATTTTTAGACAAATCATACGTGAGTCCTGGGGTAATACGACGCAATTCAATTATGGCATGTTTAAAAAGCTTCATGAGCGTTTTAACGGTCAATATTTGGATCCGGCACCCGAACGTTTAAACTATTACCGAGAATTTTTAAATCTACATAAAAACGTAAGTGTGATTGTATAACAAAATCTGTCGAACGAATGTAAATTTTAAACTATTTGGAGTTTTCTAAATTTGAATATTTGTAAATTTTTCTGCAGGATACAACGAGCGCCCCCGCCATCATACCCGTGAAAGTTTATTTTTTGCTGGGACGCAGCCGCTCCGACTTCTACGCCGCAAATGAAACGATGACGCTTATACGTGCCGAGTCCGAGCAGTATGGTGATATTATACAAGAGAACTTTATTGATACGTATAATAATTTGACTTTAAAATCGGTGCTAGCGTTAAAATGGATGACTCGGCGGTGTCCACACCGTGCAGCATTTTTTATGAAAGTGGATGATGATACTTTCTTAAATTTGCCAAATCTCTTGCATTATCTACTCGGCGGTACCCTACCGCTGTACAACGAAACTATAGATTTGTATGACTCACGTACATATCGTGTTTTATCATCCCGCAACCGTTTCAATAGTACAAGCAATTATCTGGGTGGTCATTTGTTTTGTTCGTCGCGTCCAATTTCAGTGCTTAGCAATAAATGGTATATGCCATACTATATGTATCCGCGTGATAAGTATCCGCGCTATTTAAGCGGATCTGCGTATGTAATGTCGGCGGATGTTGTGCCGCGTCTGTATGAGGCTGCTTTGAATACAACCTTGATACACATCGAAGACGTCTATCTGACGGGAATGTGTGCAGAAAAAATACATTTGCCACGCCGGCATAACGCACTATTTAGTTATATGCGTGCCAAGGATTGGTGCAGTTTTCGCGGCAGTATAACACAGCATGAAGTGAAGGATGAAAGCATGCTGGATGCCTATTTATATGTGACTAATACGAGTTTGTATTGTGCACCTCCTGCCAAGTATACGATGAAACGTTTGCGCAAACAGGCCGGTTGTGTCTGAGTGCATAAAGAAGACTGCTTTTGATTGAAAGAAGTGTACATTTTAAACGGCTTAATTTGTTTAAGTTTAATTTTTAATGATTGGTTTTAATTTATTTATTTTTTTTTTTAATAATTTATTTTTTTATGTCGCTTTTGCACCACCGTCGAAAAAGTCCATGTACTCTTTGAATACTCCATGCTTCGCATTAGTTTAAGTATGAGAAAAATTTGCATAATTGCGTTTTTAATAAGTATTGAAAGTTGTGAAAAGATATTATATACATAGGTTTTAAAATTATTATGAGCTTTAAGCTGGCTGTTTTTCAGTGATCATTACATCTCTTGCTTATCAAATTCAATTAAAATTGCCGCAATTTTATTTTTTATTGACAGTCTTTTTAATTTGCAATAACAAATTTTAAAGATTACAAAAATGCATAAATGTATTCATACATACATACTTATACATATGTGCACTATTGTCAAAATAGCCTAACTCGACATGTCAATTTGTTCTTTTAAAGAAAAAAAAAAATTGATTTATCCATGGTATTTTAATATTTGTTTTACATATACATATGTATATGAAATAATCTTAGATGCATATATTTGTCAAAAAAATATGTGAACTTATCGGATTTTAAGTTAAATTTTAGTTCTAAAATAATATAATCATTAACTCAAGCCATACCTATCTATATATGTTTACGTTAATTAACTGCATGCTCTACAAAGTACTTAAAGAACAAAAATTTGATGATATAATATTACCCAACGCATTAGTGCACACTAGCTCGCTGCAAATTATGAATATTGTTTATCTAGAAGTTTTTACAAAATACTAACCTTACAATTTTTAACAAATTTTCTTGATTTATTACGATCCTAACTTTTTTTGAGTTTGGATATACATTCATACATCACATAGCTATGTATGTACATGTACAAATACAACCAATTCTTTAGCTTTTTTGGCACTGATCTAGAACAATGCGCACATATCTACGAACATATATTTGAATGTTACCGAGTAGATAAAAGCCCGTCCTGAGAGTCAAGAGGCCTGTCCCTTTACATTCCTTTCTCCTTTCTTTTTTTTTGTATGGAGTGGCACAAATTGAATGGCTTCTTTTTCCAAAAGGACTTTTATAGAATGTACTTCAGAAGGCCTTTTGGAGGAGTTCTCAAAGTTTTTTCTTTAATTTATAAAAGGCAGTATATGCTTAAGGTTTATATCAAATATGTATTGTTGCAACTTAAAATGTTAATTGAAATTCATTTCTAGAAGGCATGCAAGGAAGCACTTTTTTCTGCCCTTGTTGGCTACGCCTCTTAGAATGGCTACACTTAAGAAGACCTACCTAAATTATCTTCTGGGTAATTAATCATTCGTGCGGCCTATCGTTCGAGATAAATAATAATGCTGCAAGTTACCCGATGGTCGATGTGGTGTAGTGGTTGGAAGTACGCACTACCATCCGCAGCCTGCGATTGAGCGCGACTCCGACTAGCACCGAAAACTAAAGAAAAGAAAAAGTTTCCC